CCATGGCCAAATTTTTCTCTTCTTCCAAAACAAACACGTGATTAAACAATCAAGAGGTGCTAAAAATACAGTCTAGGGAGGGTTCCCCATGGAAACAATAATCCCATGGAATGTGCTGGAGCATCCAAGATCTGCTCACCTTAATTTCTCACGGCTTTCTTATGAGGTGAGTGCGACCGTCATCAGTGATCTGAGGGGACGCTGAAGCCCAGGTGGGGTGAGTGACAGGAAGCAGGTAAGGAGCAGGGAGAAGCTATGCACCTGAGCAGGTGGAGCTGATGTCTGTGCAGGTCTGGCTTCACACGTTAAGCTGTCTCGTGCTCGGTCAGAAAGCCAGGAGGAAGTGTCCCCTCCGCCTTGGAGGATGAGCTGATCGTGACCATTTATACAGCATCTACTGTGTAGCAATTGGGGTCCTTTCGGAACATTATTTCCTTTAGTAAGACCCTTAAAAATGGTTTAATATGACTATAACCAGAAGAATAGGATTTCCTTCAGAGAATGAGTTGGTATCAGAAACTGCCAAACCATTTTCCAAAGCGGCTGTGCCAGTCCTCCATCCCACCAGCAGTGTAGGAGAGTTCCAGTTCCTCCGTGTTCTCACCAGCATTTGATATTGTCAGCTTTTAACTTTTAAAAATTGTAGTTTTCCAATAGGAGAGTAGTGGTATCTTCTTTGCATAGTGGTTTTAATTTGAATTTCTGTAATGACTAATGATACTGGCTTTTTTTCCTGTGTATCATCTATTTACCATTTATGTATCCTGTTTGGTGAAGTAAGGGTCAAACAGTTGCCACGTCAAAGGTAAACAGAATAAACGCACCTATTAAAAGACTCTCAGGTTGGATTAGAAGGAAACCCAGCTCCACACTATACACAGCCGGATGCACTGAAGACTAAGAGCTCAGAAGGTTTCAATGTAGACGATGGCATAGACAACGAGGGAGTTACAAGTGAAACAATGTAGGGACTTTACTACTTACTATGGGAAAAGGCTGAATTCATGGCAAAATACATTAAGACCAAAAAAGAAAACTTTAGTGTGATTAAAAAAAAAGCCAAAATGCTTTTCTGTTATAATTATCTTTGCACCAGATAGCGTAACATCAGCATTCATAGAGCAAAATCCAAGGAGAAATAAGAAGAAACAGAAATATGCTAGTGAGGATAATTTACTTAAAAAAAATCCCCTAATAGATCAAGGAGAAAAATAAGTGATCAAATCCCATGGGAGACAATCAGCACTTGTTAAAGGAGACTAAGTTGTTCTACTTCCAATAGGGACCAACATCTCAGAATAAAGAAGTGGGTGAGGGGAAAGACTGGGACTTTTACAGAAACGAAACTTCAAGGTAAATATATTTTCTTATGAACACGAGCTATTTTAAATAATCTGTTTATGAAAGTGAAGTAAGAACCATTAATTCAATGTTGGAAACTTGATATGTCTTTAAATTAAATAAAATGACACTGTAGCATATTGAAAGCTTACAGATAAAACTACTTACTATTGTTTTACAAATATATAGACAAGGCTTACAGATAAAAAACGCAGTCCTGTTTTAAAGAAGATGCTCTACCAGACATACACACGGGGGCATCCTATGGGAAAAGAGAGGATTTCAAATGGGAAGGAAAAGAGGTTTTTTTCTTTCTCAGTATATGTTGTTTTGAGTGGTTGGTCATTTGGAAAAAGACAAAAACAAACAATAATAAAACCATCTCCCTACTTCATGCTGTACGTAAAATAAATTACAGGGGATTGAATTTTATATTCTTTAAAAATTCATGGATTACTAGGACGAAATAATAATTTTTAAAAATCTAAAAAATGTTGTATTCTTATTCACACCATTCACCATGATATATTTTGAATGGATATAAGATTTAAATGTAGAAAAACAAAGATTTAAATGTTGAAAGGAAATAGTGATGAATTCCCCTGTAAACTTGTCAGAAGGAAGGCTTTCTAACGCTAACTCACTACACAGAAGCCATAAAAGAAAAAATATGTTAAATACAATTTTTTTCTAAAAAAGTATGATATACTAAGTGAAAAAGGACAAACCACAAGTTCCAGAAAAGATAAATAAGACGCTAATCTTCCTAACACCCAGGAAGAATCCGACTACTGAATGGATCAACGTGCACAGACCCCTAACAGTGTTCTGTTTTATGTACCGTTGAGGAAAAATCTCTGTGTTTTAGGTAGTGTCTTTTTGTGCAAACCGAGGAAAAGTAAGAATCTAAATAAATTCTAGAAGTGACTAAACATGTTTACTCATGGTGGGGGCTGGACAGAGGGCGGTGTGGTGCCCTGTGTACCTGCTTGTGCTTTTTTATTTTGAAACCACAGGAATGCATTACGTGTCTACATATGTAAAAGGGAAAAAGGAACCTCTGCTTGTCTGGTTAAGAGACCCAGGCTCACGGAGACTCAGAAATAACCTGGGGCCCTCTGGTTGGGGGAAGTGGTGAGGAGTCCTGAGCCAGCTGGTGCCACTAGAGCCAAAGCACAGGGTTATGAAGAGCAGGTTTTGAACTTCACCTGGGGCCTGTTTTGTCATTCTATAGCACGGCTCTTCGTTTCGCATCTGAAGCAGGGAGTCAGATGGGTTCCCCCTGCTTCTGGCTCTGGGCCACTGGTCCCCTTGGCCTCCTGGCTTTCCCCAGAAGGGCTGAGACCCAGGACAGAGGCCTCAGCTGACAAGTGGGTGTGGAAGGGACCAGAAAATGGACAGAGTGTCAGGTGTCCGGGCAGCAGAACAAGGGAATCCCCCTGGTGTCCCTGGGACGGTGCACTGGGTCTGGTGTCCCAGCCAGCGGGGCCTTTGAGCACAGGTCGCTGGCGGGGAAGAAAAGTGGGCAGGGGGATCCAGATGAGGGGAGCTGTGTAGCAACGTGGGGCAAGGATGCAGATGCCAAAGCTGGGCCTGTCCGGCAGGGAGCTCAGGAGGGACTCAGCTGCTGCTTTGGGAGGTGGCAGGAGGTGAGGGGAGGGGATACCCCGACCCTGGCGCCTGAAGCACCCCTCCCCTCCCTTCCTACTTGGGTCCCACACAGCGCCCCTCACTCCATCCTGCCTTGGCCTACCTGTGCCCCACATACACCCAGATGCTTCCCTCCCCATTGCCCAACCTCGAGCCTCCCTGCCTGCCTTCGACCATCCCCAGCACCCCCATCCTGCAGTGACCTACCTGCACCTGGGGCTCCATCCTGCTTCCCTGCTGGGGACTGGCCTTCTTGGATACGTGCATCTCCTGGCAAGCTCTGGAGCCCTGAAGTACCTGAAATAACCGTAAGTTAAGAAAAAGAATAAAGTTCAATGATAAAGAAAATTTCTATAATTTTAGTCATTGAATAATTTTTTTTACGTTTACATATAAAATATGCATATCTGTGTGCATATGAATGAATATATTTTGGGTATTTATGTAATAAAATTACATACTAACATTCTATTTCTTTAAAAAATTTAAGCATTGTGGAAAAATGTTAGCATTTAAACTTCTTTCTTTTAAGAAATCAAATAATATACAAATGCTTGAAGTCTCTTTTTCACCTTTCCTTTATCCCATTCCCTTCCTTCCATCCAAAGAGGTAACTGTTACCTGAAGTCAGTGTTGTTTCACTTTCCCAGCTGTTTTTTTTTTTGCCAGTCCCGAGGCCTGGCGAGGGTGGGGCTCCGGCGAAAGGATGAGGGGCTGGTTCCCCTCCCGATCTCAGAAAAGCTCCCAAAACGGCAGCGGCGTGGCAACCCTGCGGCTGCCTCAGGTGGCCCACGAACCATTCAAAGCTCCCGCGCCGAGGTACCCGGCGCTCGCGATTGGCTGAGCCGGACCAGCGCCCCTGGGCGGGGCCGGCACCC